GTGGATGATTACTATACCTTTCTCTCTCTTGGTTCTTCGTACAGTGGGAAAGCTGAACAATGTGCAGAGTGGCTGCTTTCAAGTAATATTTAAATATTTTAAATATAAGGGAAAGATGAGGTAAAAAGGTAGTTGCATGTGCTCAGATGTTTCTTTTGTGCACATGCAGGTACATATCCCTGTCTGCAACTGGACACTTCTTATGTTCTTGGAAACTAAGACTCTGATATTTGTCCGTTACTCTCATGTATAATATCACAGGAACAGCGTTCGCTTGTCTCTCTAGGTAGTGAATGGACCTATGGAAATGTAGGGTCTGTGGGACCTTACATTTCCATGTGGGAGTACACACAGAAATGTAAAGAAATATATGAAGAGACAATGTAAAATGATTCTACCAGCAAAGGTTATAGAGCAAATCATAGCTTGGAGTATATTTTAGTTGTGCCAGTTACAGCTCTTGATCCGTTACTGCAGGAGTTACACTATTTGTTGACCATTCATTTTGTTCTGATCACCTTTAACAGCTATTCTTACATTCTCAAAAGCCATAGTGTTCATGTTTAGAGTCGCTTCTTGGAAAGCCCGCTCAAGTGGTGTGCTAATCTGGTCCTTCAGCTAAAGCCTTTGCAAAACATGGCCCCTGACTACAGCTTACAAAAGAAACTTGCTGTTGACCAATACAACGCTCACATTAGCAAAGAAACTCCACCAAATGATTGTGGACCATACCAGTGTTTCCCACCCTAAATCAAACCTGGAAGTAGTTAATGTTCCTACACGTCCTGTGGATGTACAGAAAAGGCAAATAGTAGCAAACCTCAGGCAGAGATGCTCAAAGATGAATCAACCACACAGTGATAACTGCTTTTGGTTAAACTGCTGATCTGCCTGTTTCAAAAAATTCTTCAAATCATGTTAAAAACAGCTTCAGCTTTGTGTTCAGAGTATTGTGTGCTTAGTATCATGAGCACTTTATGAGTCGACCATATATCCTAATAAAGAGATTGCCTTAGTTTACACTGAAGACATAACTGATGCTTATCCACTCCACTCTTATACTGATGTCTGTACACTGTGGTTGACGTATGGTTACACTGAAAAGCCATATTATTGTCTAAGGTATGTAATGTTATTTTTCTTTCTGACTAACCTTATAAAATACACACACACACACACACACGCACACACACAAAATGCACTTATGGGTGCAACATGTATACCTTATATTGTGTGCGCATCCAATTTCTGTTAACTCGCAGTTAGGTGAGTAAACAGAAATTTCCTACATCCCTAATACAGAAATGTACAGTAGTTAAAACGATTTGCTCCTTGTATATGCATCCCACATCGTTATCATGTAAAACTTGATTTATAAGCTATATGCAGCCACACTGAGTTAACAATTCAAGATGGCAACAGTGAACATAAACAGTGGTTAAATGTTTAAGCTCTCCTGCCACTCAATAAAAAAGCCGTCCATAGAGCACTGACACATCTGTGTACATGTCTCAGCACTGATCTATATTGCTAGTACAGACTTGTAAAGCTAGTAAAGCCACTGATCAGTGGCCATGAGAAGCATTCACAGAGAGTTGGGGAAGGGCTGCAATCACAATCACAGCAGACAACATCAGGCTTCAGAATTATTTAAAAGAACTAGTATGCAAACTATAAGTAGACATAACAGCAGAAATTTACTGTAGTATTCATAATTAATGTCATAATTATTAATTAATCATTCATAATTATATTTCCATTACTGTATAATCAGTTGGTATCACACCAACAGTCAGCACACACAGACTACTCAAGGAGGTAGAGCTGAATTATGACTTTCCAACGTATTTATCATTATTATTAGTGTAAATGAGGCTTCATATCTACATATCGAGTGCGTCCTGTTCCATGTTAGTGGCCAGTGAGCCAAACCATTACAGTGATGGCCACTGAAGCATCATCTTTGTGTCTATGACCTGATGTCTGAGGCAGTTTGATGTGACCTGAGGACGTCCTTTGCACTGTAATACTACAGGTTGTTCTGCTGTTGTTACCTGATGCCTTGATCCTGTTTTCTGATGGAGAAATAAAGATTTTGATGATTTGGTTTATTTGTGAATGTGTGTGTCTGTCTGTCCCTGTGTGTACTTGTCAGGAGTGGTTAGTACAGGGAATTGCAAACATGACCAGCGTGACACAGAGCAGGAAGTAGGCCAGAAGGGGATTAAATAACTACTGTGCCCCCCCATCCCCCCACCCCCTTCTCCTTGCAGCCATATGTGTATTCTGTGTGTGTGTGTGTGTGTGTGTGTGTGTG